AGAAAAAAACATAGTGTGATTCATATTCCATGAATGAATTTAAAGGCCTATTTACATAACCTCCATCTAGCATCTATAGAACAGGTGTACCAAACATTTGCTGGCATGAGAACATCAACAGAGAAGGTGGATGGTGTTTGCAAGACAATGTGGCAGCGACTACCCTGATGCAGATGATGATGATGATGATGATGTCAGAATAACTTGCTGTAACAAAGGAAGTTCTTTCTCTCTTCACAGTCTCTGGTCTCCACATTTCCTGTGTTGTTCTTGGATAAGGTTCCACAGTGCTGCTCCATGAGGCGGCAGACGGGCCGGTCAGGGTACAACATATCTGCCCCGTTAATCCACAGCCAATGACCAGCCAGGAAACGAAGGCCTGTCCACACCTGGGGAGAGGAAACAACTAATGAACCTTCATAGATGTATAAAGAGAGCTGCGACAAAAAAAAACAAAATCCCTTCCAGTCTTCAAAGCACTTTCCCCACAAACCACCCCATAAAACAGACGATTACAATACAAGGTCAAGTATTACTTTTAATGTTCAGACCTTTAAGGTTTAATACAAGATTCTAGAAAAGCTGTTGTTATGTGCATGATGTAATCTCAATGTGGAGTTTATGGGCTGGTGGGCTCAGGGAAAGAGAGACGCTGATGAGCGTGTGCAGTGGGGCACATGAAGCAAACCAGAGAGAAAACTCACATGGCATGAGAGAGACAAGTGATTGGCACCGTCTAAGAGTCCAGATGTCAGAGTACTTATGATACATCCATGTGATCATCAGGATTTTTTTTAAAAAGTAGGCCGTTGGTGAGGATTACTGTAATGCAGTTCTTGAAGACCACCTGTGTGTGCGGTACTGTGAAGTCCTTTTCTGTTTGCTTTCATTTATATTCTATTTTCATTTATCGCTTAGTTGACAGGGACAGTGCACAACTGTAGCTAGAAGCTTATTTTATCTTACCTTGAGAGCTGAAGTTATTGTCAGCCTTTAAGTTTTTATGTGCACAGACTTGTACCTTTGACTTTTTAATCAAAACTGACAGAGATTTCTACTAATGGTTTATTCGGGAGAGTTTCATGTCTATCCAAGCCATAGTAGTGCTCCACATTTGAGTCACATAACATCGCCAATGGCAAAAATGAATGGGACTTTTAACTGCTGGAGCTTGTCCGATATCACACCTTCATCCACCCATTTCATATACTGTATAATAAACACCCAGTAGTTTACTTTATAGTAAGTTTAAATATCTCACTCCACATGCAGCCGTGGCCGTCCAGCTCACAAAACACAGAGCCAGAGCTGGTTGGTGGAGGTGGCTTTATCTGTTATTTATATTTATAAAAACAGATCTCATGACAGCATTTCTTACACATGTTGCCGATCGTGAACCCACCTCCTCTGTGTCGGCCTGCATGACCTTGGTCATCACAAAGTCATGGTCTTCTCCAGGCTGCACGCTGACCAGCTCATATCGACGGTTGTAGGTGGTCGGTGTGCTGAGAGCTCTGCAGTGTTCCAGCGCCTCCTCCCAGGTCTTGCTCTCCTTTACCAGGACCAGGTTGTCCCTGTAGCAGATGAAGGGAAAGCGAGCGGAGCAGTTTTGGGTAGCCATCTTTTTTCTCAAAGAAAAGACGGAGACACAGTCGCCGTTGTTACTCGGCTCATTTGATGCCCAATTTCTGTACTTGGAACTCCCTTTGGTCCACTTCCACGTTCCCCCTGCAGGACAGATGTTGAAAGTTCAGCAACACAGATGAGGTGAAAGTCTCTCTCTTAATTTTTTTAAAGAATTGTAAGCATTGTTTTATATCACTCACTACCACATTTTCAACTTTTTGTCTCCAGATGTGTTTTCTTCCTCTCACAAAGCTACAGAATCATTAAGTCTTCAGAGACTACTGTGAGACAGATGTGTAGTAATTTGATTTGGTGACATCTTACAGAGAAAAAAGTTACAGGGCTGAATATATAAGAATAGTTCATAAAAGCATGACATGATGTGACTGTCTTAGTCCTTACCATCTCTGCGCAGTCCAGTCCAGACCGGAAAGTCCCGTGGGACAATAGCTTTGGACACGTCTTTAGTGTCTCTTAGAGTTGCCAGATCTCGGTATTTACTCCTGCAGAACTGCTGGGCCTCAGACCATGTCTTTGACTGAGGTATGAATATGTATTTGTAGTTGTTGGCCTGGATCGTGTAACAGAAGAAGAAGTAATACGCTCCACAATTGGAGCCATAAAACCTTTCAAAAGAAATATCAGAAGTTGATGCATTCATCCAGTTTTTCCTTTCTAGAAAAACATACGAGGTTGTTTAAAGTTAACTGCGTTAGTTCAGTGTTTTTGACATTTTCGTACATTTAATACAAGTAACGAAATATTTGTAGTACTGCAGCATTAAGATACAAATTGTAAACACATAAAACACAAGTAAACACCATTATGCTGCAAAACCCTGGGACTAACCCTCCATCCATCCATTATGAAAACATCATATAAAAGACTCAGCCTCCATCAGAACTCACACCTCTATTTCCAACTTTCACACGAATAACATCAGATAGAAAATTTAAAATATTACAACATATAAAATGTGGAAAAAATGTTCAGTAGTGATATTAGATACATGTGATTTGAAGTAGATGTTCTTAAAATGAAAAATCACTGTTAGAAGTTTTTAAAGTGGTGCAAGAACAGTCTCACATTACCTTCTTATGGTGTAAGAGACGTAAGCACATTTTTCACCTCGTTGTGGCTCATCTCTTCCCCAGTTAACGTTGCTTATGGCTGGCCCACCGGACCAAGCCCAGGAACTTGAAGAGCTGGGCAGATGCAGGCCGTGCCATGCGTTATATTGGTGTAAGTTTATATTGTTTACATCTGACTGCGTATACATGATGGCCAAGTCACCGTTGAAACCTGAGCTGTTTGGACAAATAAAATCAAGTTTCAGGTTTTAGGCTACTGTTATGTGGATATTAGGTGTTGGGTGCATTGAGATAAGCAGTGGATGCTGATTCTTCAGTCGGATGCCATGAAACCATAGCAGAGTGAAGAGTGGGCAACAAGATGACAAAGGCCCAATTCCCATCCAGCCCCTACACACTCCCACTCAGAGACAGAGTGCAACTCTGTATGGAGTCACACTCAGGGCTGTGGAGGGTCTCCTCATTAGGGGGGAGGGTATATATATACATATATATATACACCGGGACGACCTCGCTCTTCCACGATGAAAACAAGAAATTCATTGTTAAACAAAATATTTCATAAAGGATCAATATTCATCTAAAAGATAATGTTACACACAGACTGACAACAGCGTCAAATAACCTGTTGTGATTGCGAGTGATGTTCATCTATCTTGCTCTATAATTCTGCGTAAGTTCACTAAAGCCCAATCATAACTTTCTAAAAAGCCATTGCCAATAATGTGCATAAAAAGAAAACCCCCACCTCCGGCAGTAACTGCGAGCTTCCTCCCAGGTGTAGTAATGTCTGATGTATGAATAGTGTCTTAACACCACTGATCCCAGTCCAGATGCTGAACTACAGAGGAGGAGGAGGAGGAGGAAGGGTCTTGAGAGGTCGCTCTTCATCATCATCATCATCATCATCACCACAGTCCTGTTGTACAGAGAGGATCTTGTTGAACCGTGCTGTGCTTTTGTGTGTAGTGAGGATAAACACTTTGACAATCTTTACAGCTGCTCAGCAGGTGAATGGATATTATTATCTCTCAATATCTTCCATCATATTATGATACCAGACATGATTAAAAAACACTGATGGACACTAACCGGCTAAAAACCAGCGTTAATATGTTCAGTTGGTGTCGTTACCTGTCTTGATGTGTTGGTTTGCAGTCTCTTGTGCAGCAGTGTCGTCAGTGAGAAACTCTTGGTGCTGCTCGATGAGCCTCCAACATCAAGCTGTATGTCTCACTACTTTTTCACTTCTTGTATAAGAACAATAATTTGACTAGCAGACGCCCTTAAGTCAACTATCAGCTCCCTGTCACTGCATCTCCAGAAACCATTTGACTGTTGGCAAATGAAGGTGAGATTTACCTACGGACCTGAAATAATAAAGACATATTATGCCCAAGAGACACTGGGAAGCAGGCCAGCAGTCTGCCTCTCAGTTGGAACCGGCTCCCTGGGGCGTGATATGGCGGGGGCCTCAACTTGAATGCAATTTAATTTAGGAAAATATTGCTTTGTCGAATGATCTTTAAAATCACCTCATGCGAGCGTATACATTTTTTGCATTTTTGTTTTTTGTAATTCATGTGTTTCCATTACTGGTTTTTAAGTTTGTATTAAGCAGGTTAAAGGAAATGCATCTGGAGACTCAGTGAGTGAGTTAAAAAAAAATCTGCAGGTACTGAGAAAAGAAAACATGATTCACAAAGCCCTGTTTGTGTAACACTATACTTGACAGCACAGCTGTTTCTAACGAGTCAGGATTTTAACTGTGAGATTAACTTTGGTGTTATCGTATCATAAAATTATTATTTCACGATCTGTCTTCACAGAAGTCCAGAGATGCCAAAGATATCCACAGACAGCAGGTAACTGTATTTAGGCTCCAATATCAGTATCCTGCCTCTAAAATCCTTTAACAGTCTGGCATTAAAGTGATAGACACCACTTGCCAAATACTTAGGTAACGTAGCCAGTTGTACGGTGGCCCTGAGAGCTCAACCTTAAGAAAACACATGCAATAGACAAAACACAAATTCACAAAACATCTTTATCTCTTTCTACAACAAAAACAAATAACCAGACAATCAAACACACAAAGAATTAATTTACTCTGAGATGTTAAATTAATTAATGACATTATATTGTGCAGATGTCTTCACTTTTTTTTTAAAGTAATATGTAAATCAAAATGTCCCTAATGGGTCTCAAAATATTTACAAGAATTAAACAAGATGCATTAAACTACAGAATTCATGAATGATACACAACAGAGAAGAAAACATTCTGCGTCTTAAGTTTAATTATGCACTGAGACTTTTTCAACTGCCGTCACAGTGCAATTAAACTCTGAATTTTATCTGAAACAAAAAGAAAACAGTCATTAGTAATAAATATTTTCTGCCCGTCACCCACAACCGTTCAATTAATTAAGTCTTAAGATTTAAAACATTTGAACTAAGATCTTTGTGATAGATTAACACCCCCCTGTTTGCCAAAGGACTCATTTCCATAACTTTTAAAAGTGTTGCTGCTGCACTTTGGTGAGATCGAATCAGCATTTAACATGGATTAATAATCTGTCCTCAAACGTCTGAATTCATGCCCTCAGATTAATGTTTTATCTCACTGCACCTGGGTGGCACATGCTCTTCTCCAGCCGCTTGAGGGATTCTCCTGTCAACATGCGGATCTCGTCATCCAGCCGGCGCTGGCCGTCCAGAGTCAGGTGCCAAAAGCACGACTTCCTCTTCCCATCTCTGCCCAGCTGGTTGCAGGTTTTGCGGAAGCTGCTGTTGAAGCACAGGTTGTGTCGGATCGTGTTCTTCCAGCCGTCCGGAGCCGTCTGAAAGAAGGGGAAGTGCTCTCTGGGAAAGGACAGAAAGGAATATGAGGAACATGGGGGAGCTCAAACCCCCCCCCCCCAAAATAGGCCATGGTCCAACTTGTTAGTCCAATGCAACTTTACCTTTGGAAATCACACACAGGCCCTAATCAAAGTTTTTGCCTTCCAGCAACTTCAAAATTGTGCGATTGGGTCCCATCCAATTAGTCAACAGAATGTATGTTGTATAATGACACTGGATCTTCACATAAAACTGTTGGCCGAGTTTTACCAAGCTATTAAATTATGACCTGATGAAGTTGTAAATCTGCTGGACTTTGAGGCTCCCAGCGTGGCTGCTCTTGAGCGCCAAGGCGATGAGGGTGCAGTAATTCACCGGTGGACGAGGCCAGCATCCCGGCTTCACGGCCTTAGTGTCCTGGAATAAAAAGCCAAAAATAAACATTTTTTTTTAAAGCCCATTCATTCATTTTTATTAAACGTCCACTCATTCCACTTGAGCTGCTTGTGCATGACAGTGTTCATTTTAACATTTCCAGAGCAGCTTGAAGAAATCCATGCAGACGCCAAACTTTAGTTCATGGGCGTACACTTCCTCACCTTGGCTTTGGTTGTCCTCCCCTTGCATCTGTTCCTGGCTGGTCGACAGGAGACGTCTTCATTCTTGATCTAACAGTCAAGGAAAAAACACTCACATTGTCTGAATCAGTGCATTGACTCCTGTACTAGCAACTAGCTGCAACAGTGTGTTATACTTTTTACTCCCACTATTTATTTAACTGCTAAAGTTACTTTCAGATGAAGAAGTACACGACAAATATGATCTGTTAATAAAATGATGCATTCTTACGGATGAATATACCCATCAGTAGAAGATAAAACTAAAAATCGGCTTCATCCTTGGGCACCTCAATAATAATGTTCTGGTGATATGATAAACAGTGACGGGAGAAAAGTAAAAGTGCTTAAGTGGATTTTATTGACAACACACAACAACAAAAGAAAATAAATGCAGGACCTTTACTTGTAATGGTATATTTTTATCATTTGGTATCACTACTTTTATTTGTAAATTTAAAAAATACTTCAACTACTTAGCCACACAAACTTACCAGGTTTACATTACTTACCACACTTCATACAGAATGCAGATCAAGACTGGTTACACCATAAGTACTGTGAGTGAGTGTTAACCGTGAGTGTGGAGCAGTGTGTACTGTACCATGTATTCAGTGGAGGAGGACACTGAGTGCAGCAGTTCCTCCTGGAGAGGAGCTTCATCAGGGGCAAACATGTGGAGCTCTGCTGCAGGTGGATGTTGGGTCTCAGCAGGTGTTTGGATTTCCCCTGCAGGTCCACAGGGAGTCTGCAGAGCTGCTCCGTACTGGACCGGGCAGACGATGTTAGGATTCACCATCAGCCACAGGTTTGGCTTCACAAAGGTGTCTGATGGACAGAAAAACCACGGCAGATGTTTGAGGAGCTCAGAGACACGATTACAGTGAACAGCAAAAACTTTTTCAATGAACTGAAGAACACCTCAAAATGAAAAAGAGAGAGACAGTACAGTATCTCGCTGCACAATATACATCAACATGCCACAATCTGAGGGATAGTGAATGACCCACACACACACACACTCGGCAAGTCAAGTTAACCCTGACAGAGTATGTCTATGCTTATTCAAAGTTCTCTGATGCTAGTTTAATAAATCAAAGGGATCATGGAGCCAGTTTCTCTCTCTCTCTCACACACTCTCACACACTCTCACACACTCTCTCACACACACACACACACACACACACACACACATTTTTAACTATTTAATTCGGCTTTTAATCAATTCTCTCATATTTTACTGTTTACTGGTTTCAGTTTTCATTTACATATTTTATCATCTACTGTCTTTCTATTGTCTAATTTCATTGTCCTTGTTTCATTGTACTATTTCATTTTTTTTATTTATTGTAAAGCACTTTGAGCAACATCTCATATGATAAGTGCACTACAAATAAAGTTTATCATTATTATAATTATTATTATTCTTATCACCATCATTATTGTTATTATTAAAAGCTTTGCAAATATACAGTACCAGGACCCAAGGAAAAAATGTGTCAAAGTTAATTATGCATTAAAGCTCCTACCAGACAAAGGTTGTTGCTGATTCAGCAGGTCAACACAGACAGGAGACTGGTGCTGTAAAGTGATATTCTCACCTTCATTTGTTTGAAGAACATGGTGTCCGTCTCTCAGCTTACCTGATGTTTTATCGTAAAAAATGAATTCATCTTTTCTTCTCGAGGCTCTTGCAGGAGGCCTCTGGACCATGTACTGATCATTCAGGTTGTCATCTGTCAACAGAGAAGGACACAGAGACACAAACATCACACAACTTCAAACTGCACATTCTCAACTTTAAATCTGCTGATTCGACCCTGAGACTCTGATCACTGTCCCTGAATGTAATGTGAAACTGTGAATACAACTTGTTTCTAATAACAACAACAATGATAATCTGTGTTTTTCCTGTCGCATCAGTTAAGTCCAGCATGGTTTGCGACGCCACATGGATTTTAGTCACCGTGGTAAAACTGGTCGGTGGTTGTTGCCAGTTTCAGCTCCTTGTCCATGTCCCAGTCCATCAGGCCTACAGTGCAGTGCAGGTCGAGGAGATGAGCTGTGGTTTTCAGTTGGAAGGTCATGCCTGGATGTTTCATGGGTTTGTTCCTCTGAGTTTTACCGCGGCTCTGAGGAAACGTGCAGGTTTCCTGACAGACCTGCAGTCCATCACGACAGCAGCTGGAGCTCAACAGCCTGATTAGACTTAATCAAACCTAAAGAGAGTCCAGCCTGTGCTGAATCACTTGTTTGTGCCTGAAGTTGCTACAGTTGAACTAAATATCACAACATAATTTGTTTCATACATCAAACTGAGTGATAATTATAAGTATGTATAACGGGTCTAAGACTAAATTGAGTTTGATCCATTAAATACAGCAACCTGTCGTCACATGAACAGTCCCACTTGGGTCAGTAGGTGCCAACTGTGCAAACTCCCATCTGCTGAGGAAGAGTATGAGATGCAGTTAAAAGCTCCAGAAAAAGCTAGTAAGTGGACCTGTGACATAGCTGTGATGAGATTTGTATTTTAGACACTTCATCCCACAAAAGCTTCAGTTCTGCTTGCTTTGTGTACTGTAGAAACTTGTTCCTCCTCTGTGCAGCCACAATAACATTTCAGGATTTGAAACAATGAAATTTGCCACTACGGAAATCCTTAAAAAGCATTTCCTCCAATTAGCAATTACAAAGTCTTCCCCAATCATAAACACATCCCAGACAGTTAAGTACACAAATACACAAGAAATTATTATCAACATCAAAACTGACTTTTCTTTTTTACTATATCTGTCACCAGAATAAATCACTATTTCAAAACCATTTGATGAGTCTTTTACATTTCTCCAGACCTGCGTTAGTGCAGTTTAGTCTGTTTACTTTATTATTTTTTTTTTTAATCACATTTACAATACACATTTCACAAGTAAGAAACAGATCAAAACAGCAATAAATCAATTTTTACAGCATGAGAAAACAAAATCATATAGTCATCTTTAAATATCTATATACCTTTTTATAGTCATTAACATTACATCTGCCATATACTCAAGATTTTGCCTCACGTTCATTTACAGAAACTTCACACAGGAACAGGGACGGTGAGGACTGGAAGCTCCTGTTCAGCCGTTTGTACTTTTAATATCTAACAACAATTTAGTTAAGACGTGGTGGGGTGGAGCTCGCACAATTCACTTGTTAGGTTTAGGGGAAAAGCACAGTAATGAGCGGACATGCTGAGATAACCTAGCACTACAACAGAAATAAATACAGGTTATGTAGAACCTGGTGGTGACTGACGCAGAGCAGAGGAATGTTTTCATCTCCACTTTGAGCTTTGATATGAGGTTGTCTTTTTTACTGATTTTAGTAGGTGATTCATCTAAAACATACAGTTTATTGCACCTTCAGTCGTTTCATGCGCCTGAATATCAACATGATCTTCAAAAGGTGGTTGGTGTTTGGTGTGCTGGGAGTTCTGGGAAAAAAATCTATCAAGATTCACCAGTGGCATGGGTTTTCTGTCTGGACTTAGTTTTTTCTGGCAGCTGTTGAGTCAGGTGGACGAGGCGTGCTGCCAAAAAACAACACATTGCGTGTCACAAAGTTTAGACAATCAGAAATAAGTGTTTGAAAGTCAAATGAGTTGTCTCCTTTACCATGCGAGCTCATTAAAACAGGTACCAACCACCTCTGCTGGACCATGCTCATGTGATTCTCCTCCACTTAAAAACAGTGTTTCAGTTGATTATGTGTTTTACAACCGGAGCTCACATTACAACAAGGAACTCAGCTGTCGAGAACCAATTCACACCTAGGAGTGAAGAATGGAGAAAATTTAGCATCAAACCATCAGAATCTTTAACACCGAGCTGAGACTGGAGACGAGACATAAGACTGAATGAAATGATGATGGGAAGAGAAGAGGATGGGGAGAGAGAGGAAGAGTAGGCTTAAAAGATAGGAATGTAGTTGTCGATCTTGGCGCGATGCCGCTGGGCGATGCACTCGGCGATCCACACGATGTTCCTGCACTCCTGCTCCTTCAGTTTGACATAGGCGTAGAAAACACTGAAGTGGAACTGGTTGAGGAAGGCCAGCTTGTTCAACTTCACCTGCAGCGGGAAGGAGGGGAGAGAATATAGAGAGGAAGTGACAAAGCTTATAATGACAAGCACAACTCTTATTAATTTATAGGGCTGCTCAATCATGTGATCATCCTGATTGTTTTCTCAATTTGTAAATTGTTACTTTGGGCAAGACGCATCACTGCTGCAAGACGTGTCCATACACCTGCACCAATTCATTACTATACAAGTCTGCACACTGGTGAAGAAGCAATTTAATAATATTCACTCCCTGGATCTGCACACTGCACACAGTACCCTGACTATTCAGGTCTGTATATGCGACCTGTAAGGTGTGTGTCAAGTGTGCTTCAATTCCACCTATTTAAATAGGTTATTTGTGAATGGGGAGGAGCCACTACACACAAATCAAGTTAAATCAACTCTAAGCTAAATACAACATGATGATGTTAAACCTTCAGTCAGTACTCAAGCTTCTCTACTTGGGTGTAAATTGTGTGTCTGAAGATGTGCCTCACCTCGTGCTCGAAGAAGCGATCCTCCAGCGTCTTGTCTCCTGGGTTGCTGCCAGCGCCTTCAAACAGCAGCTTGTACTCCTGGCGACAGTAGCAAGAAAATTCAGACATAGAGACAGGCTGTTGACTGGAAGAATGAAGTGCTTCATGAACTTATCAAAACAGTGTTTCATAAAAACAGTGACTTAGACACCAAAAGAAGGAGGAAAAACAGGAAAGTAATATGACAACCTGGAGAGAGAGACAGAAGTGAACAAGACTTCAAACACAACCATGTTGGCAGATTTTAAAAGCCCCCGCAGGTCAGAATGGTTCAGAGTATTAAGCAGAAACTTGGCCAGATTCTCCTTTGCTGTGTAAAATAAGAGGGACTGTATAAAAACTGACACATTAATAACATTTCTAAGGATTTACAATGGACTTACAGGATAGAAGTCAGCAACAGCCTTGACCTGCTCGTAGTCATCTGCCCGGGCCAGCTGAGCAAGGCCTTCTGGGTAAAGCTTGCCGCAGTGGGGGAAGAGCTTGGCACGGTCCTCCTTGGACAGCTCTGTGCCGAATGAGTTGATGGTGATGATGAAGGCTCTCCTGTCGGCCTCGAACTGCAGCAGAGACAGGAGGGTCAGCACAGCAGCAACAAGTGACCGGGCTGATACTTTAATATACACGAGCTCATTCCTATACACTGATCAATCAACCTGAAATCAATTTAACCTTTTTGTGCACACTTTTATCTTAGTATTGTTAAGACCCACTGCAAGTCCACTGCTGCTCTTGTATAATGAACTAATTTTGGTCCAAAAAAAACTAATTTGAGGAGCACATGTGTTTGTTTATTTTCACCTATAAAAACAGGCAGAAACTCACCTCCAGAATTGGACACATGGTGTCAGCTGTGGTTCCTCCGAGGTTGGAGCAGAACTTATAGAAAGCTTCCAGGTACGCCTGAGAGGTCATAACACAAGATGTATTTTAGGAAACAAACAAACAAACAAATAAATAAATAAATAGATAGATAGATAGATAGATAGATAGATAGATAGATAGATAGATAGATAGATAGATAGATAGATAGATAGATAGATAGACAGATAACAATACTACTACTAAAATATAATCTCAGTGTATTCTCTGTAGCAATCAACATATTTTACATATATTACACAACATCTTAAAAACTGCAGATTTGCAATCGAATTGTTGCTGGCATCTTTTACAATTTATAGATTTATGTTACTTAATTTACTGTCTGTTTATTTTCTCTCTATTAAATCTACTTTGTTTTAACTCTTTCTACTCCAGTTCATCCTGCCTTTTATTCTGTAAAGCACAGTGAAAATACTTCTATGCTTTACCTTGTAAAGTGTGTTACGAATGATTTCAATGTTCATCTCGTCCAAGTCCTGTTCAGATATACAGTCCTGGAAGAAGGCAGCTGAAAAGACAAGAGAGAATTTTAATGTTTAATGTTTCTTTAAGCTTCAGCACCATCTCCTGTTCAGTGTGAGACATTACTATTTGGTTTTCACATCCTCCTTAATCTAAATTCCAGTTTGTATGGAGGTGCATACCCAGGGGTGTGTCCACCAGGATGGCGTTGTACAGCTCAGCGGGGGTCTGGGCGATGTTGACCGCCTCCATCTGCTCGAAGCTGCCCAGCGGGTGACATTTTGGCACCAGCTCAGAGATGGCCCGCTGGTGCAGAGTGCCCGTGATCAGCAGGATGACGTTATCGATCATATAGCTGTACCTGAGGTCACATGGAGGAGGGACCAGGTGAGGTTTTGTCATGACAAGGTGAAGAGGTCAAGTCCTAGTCTGGTGGGAGGTCACTCTGTGAGCAGCCTTTATCTATTTCCCTGTTTCTGTTATTTGTTAAATTTATCATACAGGTCCTACAGCATGTACATAGACACTATACTGTCTATTACAGCTGACTTATTCAAAGCTTAACTGAAGATTTTACATTTATATCCTACCTTTCATTAATCTGAATTCATTTCATTACATTGTAAAAATCACACAACTTGCCACAGTAACGTACATCTGGACAGGAATGTCTCTGCTAGTGAATTCAGTGACATGTGTCATATAAAGAAACTGTTGTCCAGAAGTTTGTGTTTATTTTCTGCATTTTCTTTTTATGAATGTGCAGGTGTATATATGACTGTATGTTTTGTGTATCATGTTCATTGTGAGACACAACCACGTGCGGATTGTGTAAAAAAGGAAGAAGACTCTCTCTCTCTCTCAAATATAACTACTAATATTCACTGTTATGAATTAGCAACCTTTAACAACGTCATAGTTTCCTCTTGCCAGTTTTTGTTGTGTACTGACATGAACTCAAAATGTTGTGCTGAGGGTCAGAAACGAACTGTAAAATGTGTGGCGCTGCTTTGCTGATGCTTTGAAAAATGGTCGTCAGTAATGTAAATTACATATGGTAAATTGTAAGTGGACTGCTCTATTTCCAGACTT